GTTTTCGATACTCGCATACGACTTCACACTGGCCATATAAATTCCTTGGTTCCTTATTCCAATCCTCTCCATTGAGCGCACCGGTGTGGGTGTGAGGTGCAGCTGTGAATATGAATGATGGAAATACCCACACCCTATGTTGAAAATTATTAATTTTCATTGTATCTTACTGAAAACTTCTTGAAACTTCATATCAATGTAAGTTTCATCTCTTCGCCTGATGTCGAAAGAAGTCTATCATTATCTGTCATTATCTGTTGTTCAACCATACCAACAGTTTCACATCATACACAAATGAGTATCGATGCGTGTGGTTCATTTGAACTGTATTTCGTTTTACCAAATTTTTTTTCTTTGTTTGCCGTCATTGTTTGTCTCCTCTCCACATTATGTATTTTACTGTTGTCGTGAACAGTACTTCTCAAGAAAGCACTTGATTGAGAGAAATTTTAGAAACATGAAAAAAAGAGAGAGAAAAAAGAAAAATAAGTAAAGCCTTTTTATGTTGCACAAGTAACACAAGAGTCCCTCGACAAACAAACGACGCATTTTGCATATACGACATTCAACCAAGTTGGAAACTATTACTAGTAAAATTCTGTGACAAATTTTATTTTGATTTTTGTATCTTGGTAAGTAACTTACGAATATAGTTCCTAAGCAGGGTGTGGGTGTGGGGTGTGGGTGTGGGTGTGAGTGTGGGTGTGCAGCTCACGAACTCCGCTCAAATGAGCGAAAGAACTGTTCGAGCAGCTCATTTGAACGAACCGAACTTTTGGAACAGCTCATTTCACATGAACTGAACTGTTAGAACAGCTCATTTGAGCGAATCGAACTTTTGAAACAGCACATTTCATATGAGCTGAACTTTTAGAACAGCTCATTCGAACGAACTGAACTTTTGGTAGGGGTACCCATTGGTCCTCAAGGGCTACCCTATAGGGGTACCCATAGATCCTCCAGGGCTACCCTATACGGAACGCATAGGTCCTCAAGTCCTACTGTAGGGCGATACTCTTGGGTCCTCAAGTCCTACTATTGGGGGCACTCTTGGGTTCTCAAGTCATACTACTGGAAGGTACCCGAGCGGGTTCAAATTTTTTTCCCTTTATTGTGAGGGCAAGTGATGGGCATGTTCGGGCCAATCATAGGGTTATCGAAGGTGCTCTATCGATTGATGGGTATATGTAGGGGTGCCCACTAGTGACCGGCGTGACTATCAGTGAGTCACGGTCACGGCCGTGACCGGCGTGACTATCAGTGAGTCACGGTCACGGCCGTGACCGTGCGTGACTTTTTTTAAAGATCGTGACCGTGACCGTGACTGGAGCTTGGTCACGGTCAGTCACGGGAACTTTCTCGAAATTTTGGAAATCCCTGAGGGGGAGTAAGGGGACCTTCGCGAAGCTACCGTCTCCCACCCGCTCAACAGTTTTTATGAATAATTTGGAAGTTTCTAGTATTCGTGATTTTGGAAACTTCTGAGGGGAAGCACGGACACCTACGCGAAGCTACCCTCCTCCGATCATCACTTTTAATAGCAAACAGAACCCTAGTCTCAGTCCTGTTCATTCCTTTGGAAATTTTGCAAGGATCTGTCAGGATTCTAAATCTGCAAGATCTTATCAAGTTTTCCTCAGGATCCCGGCTCAATTCCTGCTGTCGGGATTTCTCACAGTTATACAGGATCCTGTTTAGGATTTCTTTCCGCATCTGACCAGATGTGTTTGTAGATAATGAATACAAGATCCTTCAAGGATTCATTCATGATCCTGCTTAGGATCCTAACAGGGATAATGGAGAGGATTCTCTCAAGATTTTATCAAATTTTAGACAAGATCTGATGCGGATCTTGATACAAGGATCCAGTCAACTTTTGCAGCTAAAACTGAGGAGCGTCGCAACAAAAAGTCAACAAGAGAGCATATCAGTGACTGTTCTTGTCAGTTAATACAAGTAGAGCTTCTGTTCATACCCACAACCACATCTTGTTTTCTAAATTATTCCAGGTTAAACAACAATGGTAACCTGATCAGGGTCCTGATGTAATCCTTTTTCGAATGCTGCTGGGATCTTGAAATTCCGTGGCTACACACTTCTTTCAGGATTTCATCGTTTCCTCAGGAAAAAAGAGTGAATTCTGGAAAGATGCTGACTGAATCCATAAAGAACCTGGTACGGAAACATCAAAGATTTTCCCTAAGGAAGCTTTGCAATTGCTCTTTCTGGAAAGGTTTTTTTCATGTTGAGAAACCAGAAAGAAGGGCCGTGACTCACGGTCACGGTGAGCCCAGCCCGTGACCGTGATCAACCCCTCGTGACCGTGACCAAAAAAGTTGGTCACGCCGGACACTAGTGCCCACCCGTCCCCTCACTGAGAAATAGAATCCTGCCATTCGATTGGTCCAAAAATAGGGTGTGGGTGTGGGTGTGTGGGTGTGGGTGTGTGGGTATGGGTGTGGGTGGGTGTGGGTGTGTGGGTGTGGGTGTGGGTGTGTGGGTGTGGGTGTGGGTGTGGGTGTGGGTGTGGGTGTGGGTGTGGATGTGGGTGTGGGTGTGGGTGTGGGTGTGGGTATGTGGGTATGGGTATGGGTGTGGGTGTGGGTGTGGGTGTGGGTGTGGGTGTGGGTGGGTGTGGGTTTATGGGTGTGGGTGTGGGTGCGGGCGTGGATGAAGGACTTATCTATGCTCACACCCATACCTACACCTACGCCCACACCCACACCCCCACACCAACACCCACGCCCACACCCTCCACACACACCCTCCTATTCCGATTTCAATAGGTTATTTGCCTATAGATTCTAGATTGTGTGCTAGTAAACACTCGAAAAGAACGTCGATCATTATTGTGATTTAGACAAACCTATCGAATGTTTTATTGTCTATTTTGCAGAGACCTCTGTAGGATGCCAAATTTCAAGAACAATTCTATTTTTGAATATTAGTATAGAAAAACAATAAGATTATTGATGTAGTTATTATTGCTTTTAATGTACGTTGAAAAAAAATCTCCTAAATTCTCCTTAAAATGATCTTAGCAATAATAAAAATTTTGCTAATAATGATCACATTGACAACGATAACATTCAAGCGTTGAAAGAGTTCATTGTTATATAATAATACTTAAGACAAAATATTCATTTGATCATGTGAAATGTAACTTAAAATTTCAAAGAGAGAATCAATCATTGGAATAAATTTCTTTTTCATTCGAGTTGATAAAAATTATATACGAGAATCTTTTGAATAAGAGAAAGATTACGAATAACATTCGGTGAGATCAATCTACATTATTTTTTTTATTGAAATTCATTTATAATAGAGAAACCAAAGTACAATAACATCGATATTTATTTTCCTGTTAATCTCTATTTTGGTCGATATGGAACATACTCATAATCGTTAGATTTCTTTACAGAACAAAAATATGTTAGTTTTTTAAAATTCAACATGTTCTACAAAGATTTTCACATAAAAAACAAATGAATTCTAATTTACCACTCGTCATTTGTAAAAGTAATATGAATTATGACTATTGGAAATAATACAATTAGAACAATTGTTAAAATATACAACCAAAAAAAACACGCATTTACAATAAATTAACATAGAGAAGTAAGGATGTGGGTGTGAGTTGTCTCTTAACCTAGAGACAGACTTTGTCGTCATACTCACCATATTGATTTTCGTTGCATGAAAAGGAGACAAGCCATTTTCTCATATTTGTAAATTAATTAACCCTTTGACTACCATAGTATAAAAAAAGCTACACCTGTTTTGTTAATATATAAGTGTTGCAATTAATAAACTTCAGTCGCTAAAATTTTCATTCAGATATAACAAAGTTCCATCTAGCTTACATTGAGCAAATCACATAAAAGAACACATGAGATATGTTTGATACATGCTCTTAAGTGTAGAATAAACTAATTTAATAGTTACCTGAATTCAATCCAGCACAAAATAATTTGGTAGTCAAAGAGTTAATTAAAGATATTGAACAATCAATCATTGGTACATTTAGAGAAATTATCTTCCATAATCATGCGAAAAAAATTCATTTATCTTAGCCGGTTCGGTATACGACCATTTCATGCTTGATCGAAAACATTTTTATATTTGTTTCATTTTTACTCTTTATAAGTCGATAAAGTGGAATGTGCTAATTAGGAATATAAGATTTTCTTTTTCAAAATTAGTTGAGTAATAAGTCAGATCTTGGACACTTTTGAAATGCTAAAAAAGCAGTTTTGACCTAATACATCATCAATACTTGTTTAAGAATCGTTATAAACGAACTCATTCGATATAGACTGTTTTTTCTCTATCAAAATTTACAAAAAAGAACATTTAGAAATAAGAATCTTCTTCAATTGATAATCATCAAATACTACACCAATTCAGTTCTACAAAAATAGTTTGCATGGGTGATTTAGCGAGAGTTTTATACTACAACTATAAATTGATATTTCGTCCATAAGTTTGACAGAACATGAATTCGAAGACTCATTACAGTTTTTGAGACTTATAACTGAAATAAATTCTACCTAATCTTCTCAAATCTAATACATCACAAAGCTAAAATATACAAATCTTTGATATATTAGAATAAAATATAAATCGTTGAGATTCACAAGATTAAATGTTCTTCAATGCATTCAAAGATAAATAGACATTTTATGATTATGTCTACAGATCATCAGACATTTTTTTTCTTCTGAAGCTTTTAATTTCTGATAAGCAATTAATTCTTATCTCGCATTACTAAAACCATTCTTATATCAACAATAAAATAAACAATAAGTTTAACGTTTTCTTCACCTACTTATACGGAAAAAAACAACTTATTTTTTTCTTTCTGTTATATATAAATAAATAGACATCTTTACAATGTTTCTATTCCATTGACTTTTGAGTACTAAAACTTTATCAAGTAAAGTAGTTGCTACATTTTATACAAATCATTTAGTTTATTTTTATTTTTTTCTCGAATATTTTCAATGAAAAGCTAGTGGAAAAAAGTTTCGAACAGCATCTATTGAATCATCGAGTGTCTCCAAAGTAACTAAATGTTCCACTTTAGAACAGTTATTTCTTGCTTGTTGTTGATCTTGAGTGATTATTGCTAACAATATATCTTCGTGAATAGCCAGTTCAATTAGAGAAGGAAGACGACTTCGATAAAGAAATTGTTCAGCATAATCCATATGAATGTCAAATAGAATTAGTGTAGATAAATGAGTAAACTCAATATTATTTGTTGTCACTTTTGTTTTCTCTTGTTGTTCAAGTTCATTGAATAATTCGAGTGTTTTAAGATGAGATAGATCTCGAGCAATACGTGCAAAGAAAAGATTTTCAAACGGTTTGACATCATCAAAAAGTAATAACATAGTAACCATCGAGAATGTCTTAGTCATATTGAATAGTGGAAATCGATTTGAAATGGAATCAAGACGATTGCCAATAAATGGAAGCGAATAGATTTGACATTGACCATAATTATTATTGAAAAAATCGACTGCACAATCAACAGATTCTTGTTGATATTTCATAAAACTTTGACGAATTGTATCAATTTCTACATGAGTAGCGTTTTCAAATATTGTACGAATGTGAAAATTAAATTGATGTAAATGACGCATGTATGAAAGAATGTCTTTCTCCAAATCAAATCCATTAACAAAATTATTGAGTCTACTTGTTGTTCCATCAATAGCTAATAATAATGTTAAATATTCAACATTTGACAAACGTTGTAAAAGAGGAACAATACATTGTTCATAGTGAATTATATTCTGATAGATTTTCATTGTCAACTGTTTTAAATAGGGACATGAAATCTAAATGAGTAAATTAAATGAAACTTCAAATTAAGAAATATTACTTACAGATGCTATTCGAGAGATAATAATATCACTATTGTATGCATAAACATATACAATACTAATAGTGAATGAAGAGAGTTGTGAGCCCAATTGACTTAGTAAACAGACACATTTGTCGAACTCCTCTAATGTTATTCGGATATGAGTCAGGTGAATTGATTCAGGGAAAAACAATCTACCAGGATTAGATACAACGGGTAAAATACAGTCATCATCAAGTTCGAACGATATAATTGAACGCATAAGTGGTGAACAACGAACGGTAGATAAAATTCGGCTACCAATGCGTCCATCTTGTCGAGCAAATTGAGGTATAATTGGGAGGAGAGGTTTACTCCGGCGAAAAGTACGGTAAAGTTCCATGCCTAATAAAATATATATATATATATATATACGAGTGTTACAATATAATACTATTCAAACTAGTCTTTTGCTTTCTGCTAATATTAATTTGGCAAAAAGAAATTTTCCATATTTTTGTCAACTATGATTTCTATGAGAAACGTTCAAGTCTATTCAAGTAGAGATTAAACGATTTAGTAAGTTTTTACTCTCTACTTAGAATTGTGTAAATATTCTATATATAACAGTAGTGTACGGATTTGTTTTCCATAAAATAGCGACAACAGATTTTCAAATTCTCAAATCATAGAATTTTCCTTATTTTCTAACCAGAAAATCAACTGAAGTAATATTTAAATACAGCTTAAAACAATATACTTAATAATAATTGACCTATTGTATCTAATGTATAAGGAGTGCCTGTTTGATCATATTGTCTACCAATCATTATTTTCAAATGTGTCAAATTTGGAAGAGTTCCATTATAATTTTTTTGAGCAAAAGTGATTATATCAGGAATATGTCGAATGTTGATTGTCAATGATTGAATATTATCGATAATATGAGGCATGATATGTGAATAAAATCGTTGAATAAGTGTTTCATATGGTGATTGAACATAATCAAAAGTTAAATCAATTGAATGACAATTATCAAGTGCAAGTTGTTCCAAACGATTATTACCAATAGTAATAATAGAATTCAGCAATAAAACGCGAGATTTGACTTTATTCATAATAATTAAAATTAATTCATCAGGTAAATCGAGGAATTGAACATTATCTTCTGTATAAAACAATAAAGAAAAATAAATTTGATATTTTGAAATATTTATATACTCATACTTGATAAACAGTTCATTGTTGATGTAATATGTTCAACTGATATCAGAATAGACGTATACATAGATAAATATGTGAAGAGTTGTGTTGATGGACATTCTCTAAGAGACAACCAATCATTAATGGTCAATTATGTTAACAAAAGATGTTTTTATAAAAAGAAATATGTAGGTGAACCAATCAGATGAAATTATGTTGAAGACTTTTTCATTGTGCAATGTAATTTATTTCATTTTAAATATATTTAACATTAGAAGTGAGTTATAATAAGACTAAAAATTATAGATTGGTTAGTATCATTCATTTACCTATTAATAGATGTGCATTTATGTAGATATCATACAAATATTGAGGTATTATAATAATATTTGAATATTTCTTGACAAGTTATGAGACATTTATAAAACAATTTTCCAAGTTTAGCGATTCTATCATCATTGCAAAGACACAACATTTATGCTTTCTTCTTTGTTAAGAAAATTATAAGTTGAAAAATAAACGAAATGATAAAAATATCATTAGAGAAAACTAACCTATTATCATGAACAGAATTCAATGCTTGAATCTAAAGCATGTTAAAATCAGAATAAAGACTTCAAAGGTTATTATTTAAAAAAATTTTATTAAAGAATATTTGAATATAAAAAATCGAAGCTAAGAATAAAAAGTTCACGAACGTTATTATGATAATCATTAAGATGGTATCCATCTAAGAAAAATCAGTATTATTCAAATTAAAAATATATACTAACTAGAAATCTTTTTTTGTTTCTTTTTCATATTTCAATTGAAGTTTTTAATTCAAATGAATTTTTCAATACTAATAATTTTATCTTCAAACGAAAACACATTCATATTTGGATGCCGTTAACAGTTGAGCTTCGTACATTTTTCTAAAAATTATTTTCATATCATTTGTTTATTTATACCTTCAGACATTTTTTTTGTTATTGATACTGTCAATATTTAATCTAGCTATTCTTCGAAAGTCTCGGAGTGTGGATGTGGGTCTCAAAAAGAAATAGAATCAGCCCAAGTTAGTAAATTTTCACGAGTTGAAGACCGCTATTCTTTATAATTAGATGAAAATTTAATACTGATTGTTAGTCTGTCTAACATCTTGGTTATCTCATGAATATATATATATTTATATAGACTTTTTATATGCCATTAGCCATCATTATGTCTCAAGCGAGTTCATGAATGTTCACTTATTACTTATGTGATTGAACTACGGCGGTGAATTTATTTTTATTATGCAAAATTGAAATAAACAAAAAAAGAATAATCGTTCGGCTCATGTAAAATTAATTCGATTAATGGAATTTCTTTATCAATGTTTTACATCAACAGAAAATATGATGAACTTCATGTAGAATATATATATATATATATATATTATTCAATTATTAGTACCCATAAATTTCTTCAATTGCCAACCTATTAATGAAACAAGAACGATAGAATAATTACATATTCAGCTATACTGCTATGTCTGACTCAAATCTAGTCTTAGTGTCAGTCATTTGCCTCGAGATTTTTCAGAGAAGAATGGAACAAAGAATCATAGTTAGATAGAAAGAATTAATCCGCTAAAAAAAGAAGAATAATTATCTTAAGTCTTATAACACAATTATATTTGTTTCTTAATATCGTATACTTGATTGATTTGTATTTTTATTTTTACTTTTACAAATCTATTCAGTTCGTTTATTGTCATAAATTCATTGATCATTTTGATTATATCTATAGAGCAATGTGGGAAATCTGATAAAAGACAACATGGAAAAAAATTGCTTTCCAGAAAATACATGCAAATTATTTTGGCAATGCTATTTATCATTAAAATATATGAAACTTATAAAGTTTATTATGTCATTAGCATGCATAGTAGTCATTGTAATCTATACGTCCTTCATTATCATATCAGTCTTCTTTATTCTATTATCAACTGGAAGATCATATTTCATAATCTTCATGTTGATTAAGTATTGCATCAGTAAATCTTGTTTGTTTCAGTCATATCATAGAAGCTTTAGAAATTAAAATTATTTTAATATAAAACTCTAGCAAGATCAATCCTTTGATTTATTATCAAATCTTATATATGCATACAAACTGAATTTTCCACATAGCGTTTTTTGTATATTACGCTTGAACAAATCTGCATCATCTACATGCGTTCAATGATGGTATTATAAAAAAAAAACTCATTGTCTCATACGTTAAATATTCGATCAATGCCATTGACCAAAATAGAAAATCAAATGTAATTTGTCTTTTATTCTCTATTTGCCTTTAGATCTGAAACAGTAATCGTTTCTGAAATTTCCCTTGAGATTTTCAACTTTTCTTATATTAAACAGTCCTTATTGATTACTGATGTTTTTAGTACAACGATTTATTCCTTTTGAACATGCAAGAATCTATTGAGATTAATGCTCAAAATGATTCACTTGTTATGTAGAATTATAAATTATATATATGATTAATATATCATAGTATATATGTCTTGTTTTTTTCAATATTTCTTTTCAACTAACAATATATACGTAAGATTCCACGCGTGTATACATACATAAAACATCAAATATAATATAATGATATACATACCAAATAGAAAATGAAAAATAGAGTGCAAACTAACTGGCATTAAACGAGTAAAGAAGAAGAAAAAATGAGTCATATGACTAGAACTATACGCATACATGCATGTTAAACGATAAATCTCCGGTATAATAAATCAACAAAGAAAAGAAAAGAAAAACCAAGAATAAACACATATGTCCATCAATTTACAGACCGGAACAAATCGCATATATAAACATACACATACACACAAAATAAACACTGTACGAACAAAAAAAAAACCAAAAAACAAAATGACGGGTTCGAACTATTGCCAATAAGAAAGAACAAAATGTAGAACTAGAGAATATTACATCATTTTTATTAAATATTTATTTTCTATGTAAAATTTTTATCAATAAAATCAAGAAAACGTCGTGCATAAATTTCTGGTCGAACTGTAGATATTCCATCAGCATCTGAACCAGATAATTTTGTTTTAGCCACATGTGCACTTTTCTTTTTCATTCCATAATATGTTAATATATCAATTAAACCAAGACTGTACAGTTCACGACGTGGTGATGCTATTAAAAAAACAATAAAATCACAATTTTATTATTATCAAAAACAAAAATCTAATAAATTACTTTCTACACTTCGCATCGTAAATGGTTCATCAGATGAATAATCATCACCAACTTGTCCTGGACTTTCTATAAAAAGACTAAATATGTGGATAATTTTAATAATAAAAAATTCGTACCAGATTCGTCAGATGACTCATTACCAGATAGATCTGATGTATTCATATCACCAGCCGATATGGTTTGATCACGTTCTCGAAAGAAATGAAATGAAATAAATTTAAAAGCTAAAAATATCATCTTACCAACACCACCTTGATCAAGATCATGAATACCGATAAGTAATGAATAATCCATTTTATGTTGACTAACAAGAAACTAAAAAAAAACAAATTTTTTTATTATTCAAAAACAAAACATCTGTCTTTTTTTGTTTTTCTTACATTAACATCACGTTTAAGTCTGTCCATAAAAATTTTCTTTTGTTCTGGGCCTAAATCAATTGTTCGTTTTGCTTCTAAAAAATCATTATCTTTTAATGTTGGACATGGATTTAATTTTTCTTTATCTGTAGCACTTCTGTCAA